CATTTTTGACTTTAGATAAGCTCGTGTTAGAGATGTGAAGGCCTAGGTAAAAGTAGGGGCATAGCGCCAATCTCTGTAATGTAATTGAGTTCCTTTTCTTTAAAACAGATAGTGATGGGGCCATGGAGATAGCTCAGTAGAATAAGTGCTTGCCTTGCAAGCGCACGGTCCCAAGTTCAATCCCTGGTACCAAAAAAAGAATAAAATAAAATAAAACAGATAGTGAGAAATTACTGCTTCATTTTATCTATCTCAATCTTAAGATGAGTTCTGATTCTAGGCACATTTGCTAATGCAGACACCATTGGGTAAAGAAATGAAGAAGTTTTTTTTCTTTCTGTTCGTGTGTGTGTGTGAACTGAGGATTGGTTGGACCCAGGGCCTTTGTACTTAGGTATATCCTCAATACTATCTGACTCGGGGCTGGAGAGATGGCTCAGTGGTCTAAAGCACCTACTTAGAACAAGCTTAGCAAAGCACAGGGACCGCGTTTCAATCCCCCAGCACCACATGCCAGCCAGCCCCGCCCCCTGGTGGGCTGAGCTGGCCACACACATACACACACACACAAAATAAATGTAAAAATAAATAAATAAATAAATATAAAATTCTAAAAAAAAAAATACTATCTGACTGTTTATATTTTGAGAAAGTCTTGCTAAGTCATTAAGTTGCCCATACTGTTCTGTTTTTTTGTTTTTTTTTTTTTGGCGGAACCAGGGATTGAACACAGGCCTTTCGCTTGCCAGGGAAGTTTTTATTCTCCTGAGCCATCTCCCCGGCCCCTCTCAAACTGTTCTTGAACTGGAGATTTTTCAGCTTTTGCCTCCTAGAGTGCTGGGACTGTAGGCATGTACCACCATGCCCAGCTTGGAAATTTAGATTTTTAAAGGAAATTTGGAGTCATAGTCAAATAATATTGTAACACAAAGCAGACTTCAGAAAAAGGAATATTAGCAGGAATCAGTGTATTTTCTAATAATAAAGGCGTTGCATTATCAAGAAAACAAAATCCTAAGTGTGTAAGTAGCTGTCTTAATGCAAAGGGCCCAGAACAAGACCTAGTGAGACTGAAAGAGGAGATGGGCAGATGCACAACTGAAGCAGAGGATTTCACCACTGTCCCCAAGCAGTGACAGTGCTAGACACCTGGAATAACACTGAAGTTAACTTGAACATTTACAAAATTCCCAACAACTGCAAACACAACATAGCTGAATTGGTGGAGTTTAGCGAAAGTAGTGTTTAGAAACTTACACTTTTATAAAATGTTTATATTTATTTATATAGATAACCACCAAAAAAACAAAAAGTAAAATTCTCAGACTTGCTCTCATGACTCAATTTCTTCCTTAAAAAGAATAAATTAAGCTTTGAGTAAACAGAATGAGCAAAACAATCCAGATAAGAACACAAATCATTGTAATAGAAAATGGACCAAAATCTAAAGAAAACTTGGTCCTTTGAAATATCAATAAAAAACTGAACATAGTGGTGCACACCTGTAATCCCAGCACTCAGGAGGCTGAGGCAGGAGGATTGGTGTGAGTTCAAGACCAGCCTAGGCTACACAGTGAGTTCAAGGCCAGTCTGAGGTGTACATAGTGAGACTCTTGTCTCAAAAAGAAAAAAGAAAGAAAATATCAGTAAAGGGGCTTGTGGGTTAGCTCAGTTGTTTAAAGCACCTACTTGGCAAACTCAGGCGCAGGGGACCGGCGGTTCAATCCCCAGCTCCACATACTGCACATGCCCCTAAGGCTGCTTGCACCAGCAAAAAAAAAAAAAAAAAAAAAAAAACTTAGGCCAGGGAGATAGCTCAGTGGCTTAAGTGCCTGCCTGGCAAGTGCAAGGTCCTGAGTTTGATCCCCAGTACCACAAAAAAAAAGAAAAAGAAACGGGGCCGGGAAGATAGCTCGGTAGAATAAGCACTTCCCTGGCAAGTGCAAGGGCCTGAGTTCAATCCCCAGTTTAAAAAAAAAAAAAGAGAGAGAGAAGGAAAGAAGGAAAGAAAGAGAAAGAAAGAAAATATCAGTAAAAATATGTAAATTATTTTGGACTGGGGAGATGGCTCACTGGAATACGCACTTCCCTGGCAAGCACAAGGGCCTGAGTTCAATCTCTGGTTCCGCCAAAAAAAATAAAAAAAAATTTGCTTTACAAATTAAAAGGACGACACATATTAGCAGTATTGAATGTCAAAGAGAACTCCCTGTAGGACCCATTGCCATGTACTGGTAGATATTTAAGAACAGTTTTGTACATTTGGCAGCACATAAGAAAGTGCACATTCCTTGGGAAGACAGAGATGACCAAAACTGACAGAGAAATAGCATTTATTAGTTAACTAAACTGAATTGATAATAAAAAATTCTTCTGATAGAATAAACTCATTCAGATGATTTTCTTGGTATCATCAAAATATTTAAGGAAAAAATACTAATTCTGCACAAACTTCAAAAGTTGATGAGACCAGCAGTGTCTTGGTACCGAGTATAGACAAGGATATTTCAAGAAAATTAGTGATCATTACTCTTCATTAACTTTTTTTTTTTTTTTTTTTGCGGGACTGGGGTTTGAACTTGGGACCCTGAGCTTGCCAGACAAGCACTTATTCTACTGAGCTATCTCCCAAGTGCCTTCATGAACATTAAGAACAAAAAAAAAAACCCCAAAACAACCAATACACACACACACATGCGCACACACACACACATATTCATTGACCAAAATTAAAACACTGTCATACAAAAAGATAATACATCATGCATGATAATTTGTATTTATTCCTGGAAGGCATAGTTGAAAAATCTAATGTTCTTAATATTAACAGTGAAGGTGAAGAATCATGTGATCATCTCATTGAATTCAGGAACTGACAAAGTTCAACACCTAGTTGTGATAAAACATCTCAGCACACTAGGAATGGAGGGGAGCGTAACCAGATAAAGGGTATATGTGAGGAGCTGTCCACTAACATAAGTGCTGGTGCACACCTGCTTGCCCCCTCCCCACCCCTCAGCAGCGTGTCTGCCGCTTGATATCGCCCTGCTTCTCCATGCTGTGTTGGGAGCATCCAGCCAGCATGTGGGGCAGATGCAGAAATGAGAGGCAGGCATACTGGGAAGGAGGAGGGGAACTGCCTTTATTCTGTGGATAACACAGTCACTTGTCATAGATGACACATTCGTTTAAAAATATAGAAAGTCCAATGGAGCCAGCTAATGAGCTTTTTACCAAAGTCATAGGATATTAAGTGCTGAAAATAAGTCACTTATGCCAGCAACATGTGAAAAAATGTTCAGTATCTCTGGCCATTAATAAAGTGCAAGTTAAAACAGCCCTACATCCTCCTGTATACTTTGTCATCTATAGATTGCCTATACCTTGTCATTAGGAAGTAGCGCTACTATATACTTGGTTGTTAGACTCCAGCTTAGGAAGTGACAAAACAGCGTACACGTTCAGTATAGAGACAACTTTTTTTGCTAAATATTTTCAGTCCATGGGCACAGAACCTGCAGACACAGTCACCACTGTCCCTCTCCCGGGTCAGAGTCCTGTGGAGCTGAGCGCACATTTCCATGCCAAGGTTGCTCTTTAGATGCTTATACTAGCTTTATTTTTCATAGTTCCAAATGGAGCCAGCCTAAGTGCCAGTTAGTGGGCATGCTCAGACTAAGGGGGGTGTTAGAGCCATCCCCTGGGAAACTACCCAGTAGTGGGAAGGAGGTTGGCCGCCAGTGCACATGCAGCGCAGATGGCTCTTGAACATGCTGCATGGAGAGGTTCGTTCTGCACGCCCACGTGTGAAATACCCTTGAGAAGTCATCTAGTGACAGCAGGTTGGCAGCTGCCTGCCATAGGAGTCGGATGGAGGTTGATTGCCAAAGGCCAGGGGAGCTCTGGGGGCTTCTGGGGATGTTCCTTGTCACAGCAAGTGCATCTGTGGAAACCTCACAGTGTGCCTTTAAAATGAGTTGTATAGTCTTGGAATATGGAGTGCAGAGTCCTATGGCAGATTTGGAGTGAGTTCTTACTGTTACCTACACTGGTAGGCAGTGAGGAAACAGACCTGAAATACACAGCAGCCTGTCTTCTCGTGTCCTGTGTCGCAGTGGGGCAGCCAGGGACCCCTGGAGGTGTTCTGTGGCTCACCTCTTGCTCTGTATTTGCTCTTGTTGTGGATCTGTGGCTTTAAAAGAGGAACCATTGATAGGTGGGTGTGCAGGTATGAGTCCTATGGTGTTCTGGGTGAGCAAGCCCAGGTACAGATACAGAGTCCCCCTGGATTGGCTGCTTGGCCAATAGCTTTGAAGTAAAGCTGTGGGGGACACTGCCAGGTGCTTAGGCAGATCGTATCTCGAGAACAGCCCCATGGAACAGTCTACTCTGTACTCAAGGGGTCCTTGCTGTGCCTGCAGCACTGGGCTGGGCATGTGGGCAGGGCCTAGTCCACAGGAGCCCTTGGTAAATAGCCTTCTCTTTATTTTCTGTTTCCCAGGAATATGCCCAAGCCAGGTTTGATGCCTATTTTGGGCAGAAGAGGAAGCTCGGGGTGTGACTGGAAGGACCCCACCCCCTCCACCACTGGACTGCCAGGAGGCAGCCAAGTGGGCCTCTGCACTGTGGCCACTGCCAAGTGGCCACTACACTCACGTGGGGAGGCCTTGGCGTCTCACAGCGCACAGATGTGTATGATACTAAGGACTGTATTAAAGTGGAGTAACATTTATTTCCTATCTTGTTTACAATCTCACTAGGACTCTGAAACAAGATTAGGAGGCTGAAATATAGTACAATAGTGCAATATCTGAGAACTTTTTTAATCTAGAGGAGGTGGTTTCTCTTTGGGGCATAAGAGTTTCAGTCAGACATGGCCAGCAGCAGGAGTGACCAGTGTTACTGTGGGTACTTTGGTTAATGTTGGTTTTTAAAAAATTCTTTCATTAACATGCCAATGGACGTTGTGACCAGGCTCCCCGTGGGCGATGATGTTGTAGACACTCCTTGCTGCCGAGCAACATGAGACATACTGTGAAGTGGCTCCTTGGGCTGAGCTCCAGCCCCAGACTCTGCAGCGGCACCCAGCCCACGTCCTCTGGAGCCTCCAGGCTGGATGTCCTCTGGGGACAGACGGGACAGGTGGGCGCACCCTGTACCTGGCATACACGTTGGTACACGGACAGACTTCACCGCAACTAGACATACCTAACTTGGTGTGCTTCATGACGCCAGCTTTGGGCAGCAGGCCTCACTGGCTTCTTCCCCTCCATGTTCCCTAGGGGAGCAGGCATAGGGCAGTTCCCTCAGCCTCTTCCTCTGAAACTTGGGATACTGGGCTATGGGTGGCTTCCCAGGGGCCCTTGAGGCAACCTCCTGCCCTGGCCTTGGCTTTGCTTGTAGCCAGCATTCCCAGCCTCACCTCACTCCCTTCCCCTTGTTGCTGGTGTCATTCTGTGAGAGTTGGCTGCCCTCATGGGGTGTGGAGGCTCTGAAGCTGTAGCTGTGAAATCCATATATATTAAATGTCCAATGGGATGAGTTCTTAGCCTTTTTTTTTTTTTTTTTTTACTCTGAAGTCTTTGAATTTTTTTTTGTGTGTGTATGCACATATTTCTGCTACTACAGAGATTGTACTATACAAATAAAAAATTAAACCTCAAGCTGTCACTGTGGCTGCATCCTCACCCTCAGGGTGGACTCCTGCTGCCTCCTGCATCCATGGCAAGGCTGCGCCCAGGTGGTGTGGGCTGCTCAGTATCTGGCTCTGTCTGACCTCTTCCCTGTGACACTTGACTCTCAGCCACCATACGCTAGTTTCCCTAGGCCTCCCTGGTCCCAGATATCAGGAGGCCTCAGCGTCTACCTGGGCCCCTTCCCTCTGAGTCTTGAGACACATTTTTCCTTAGGACAATAATGCCACTGCCCTTGGACAGTCTGTAGGTTCACATCCAGTAGAGAAGGCAGGTGCCCCACCAACCCTCTGACCTCCAGCTCAACTTCAACCTCTCTGCTGGTGCCCTAGCTGGCCTACACACATTTTTCCTTAGGACAATAATGCCACTGCCCTTGGACAGTCTGTAGGTTCACATCCAGTAGAGAAGGCAGGTGCCCCACCAACCCTCTGACCTCCAGCTCAACTTCAACCTCTCTACTGGTGCCCTAGCTGGCCTACACACCGTGTCTTGGCCAAGATGCTTTTGGGTTAGCTCTCCAAATGATAGGGCATTTCAGTTGTCCTTGTCAGCTCAAAAGTTTCCCCATACCCCCAGGTGTGGAAAACCTGTAATTCCAGCACCTTGGGAGGCTGAAGCGGGAGGATCACAGGTTTGAGCCCACCCTGGGGAACTTGGTGACTTAGTCAGATCCTGTCTCAAGGGCTGGGGATCTAGCTCATAGATGAAGGCCTTGGGTTCAGTCCTTAGTATAGCAAGGAAAAGGAAAGCATGGAGAAATCACTACACACCTTTCTGAGCCCTTCCAGTCAGGATGGTGCCCTCCCTTTCATCTCCCTGGTGACCCCGCCCACCCTGGCCCGCCACTTCCATGTTCTTCAGGCAGCTCCGCTTTTCCTGGAGTTCTCACTGGCTTGGTCAGCTGTCCCCTAGATGAGCAGGGCCTACATCCAGCCTGGCCTGATCACCAGCTGCCACAGTCATTATGGAGGCTCCCCCAAGGGTACTGGCCCCAGGGGCTGCCTGTGTGCCATTTCCATAGCAACTGGACTCTTGGCAGCCCAGCTACCTAGATTTTCGAAGTCAGGACAAGACTGACTACCTGGAATCACCCACATTGGGGTCTGGACATCTCTCCCCACACAGTCTAGGGCCACCCACAGCCTCCTGAGACGTGCGCTTAGCCTCTCCTTGGCTAGCCAGACACTTGGATCTCTGACCTGAGTCCACTAGGAACAGAAGCTGCTCAGCGCCTTCTCCACCTGGCTTCCAGGGTCCCTCAGCAGGGCAGTATCAGACTCAAGGAACAAGTCTCCCAGTGGCTGGCCAGAGCCACAGCTAGGAGCTGGGCCACCCAGGCTTGCTGTCCCCAGGGCAGCTCTGGCCTCCAAGTAGTCTTTGTTCCTGGGACCTCTGATAGGAAAAGCCACTTTGTAGATCATTGGCTGGAAAAATCAAGGTCAGTGAGAAGCACTGGCTCCTCTTCCCAGTCCACAGTGGGACACAGGCCAGAGAGAAGAGGACTTCCGGGCAAGACATCACCCAGAGGGAGGGACAGTGGCCTTGGTGTGGGAGGGCAGAGCCTGAGTCAGCCTCTGCTCTGACTTCAAGGGCCTTCAGCCAGTCCTTGGATGCTCTGGACATCCCTCCCTGGAAGACTGGCTGCAGGTGGGCAACCCCTGGTTCCCACATGCAGCACTAGATCAGGCCAGGTATCCCCTTGGCTCCTCATTGGTGCTGAGTACCTGACAGACACCACCCTCCGCCACGGTATCCTAGATGATCCCCTAGCAAGCTTGCATACCTCCAAGGGAGGAAGGCTCACTCCCCAACACACCTGTAAGGCAGGAGCTCACACTGGGCTAGAACATGCTGGAAATAACCCTCTTCCACCCTCATGTTGGGGCACTGCAGGTGTGCTTGAGTCTACACCCTGACTTCTTGAGGCCCAGATCCTAGACTAGTGCTCCTTAGCCCCACCCCACTTTAGCTAGAAAAGCAGAGCCAAAGTAGGACCTAAGGGAGCCCAGAACCCAGGGCCCTGCCCTTCTGGCTTCAGCCCAATCCCTCAGAAAGGAGTAGGAGGCTATTGTAGGTCTTTATTGCTTTCCTGTCTTAGGTAAGGACGTGTTGGGGTGCTATTCATCCTCTGCAGCAAAGGTGAAGGGGCTCAGCTTGTAGCCAGTGCCTGAGTAGAACTTGTTCTGGAACTCTACCCTGGGGGCAAGAAGAGGAGGCTGGTGAGGGCGCCCACCTATCCCTTCCTCCCAGGCCAGTGGGGATGCTTACCAGTGCAGCCGCAGTGCATGCAGGAAGGCCGAGAGCCCTTCCATCACCAGCAGGATAGCAACGGTCAGCACGGCGAAGGCAGCGAAGACAGGGACCAGCACCACAGCCTGCACGCCCACCCTGAGGTTTGCACTCAGGGCCACGCGCATCACCATGGCCCACAGGACCTCTGACAGCTCTGTGGGAAGCAGGCCAATGGGTCATGGGTGAGGAGGTGGCCGCAGTGCCCCATTGCAGGGCTGATACCCTCCCTGACTGTGGGGCCAGCAGGACCCAATTTCACAGAGGGGACACTGAGGCCCAGAGATAACCAGACCCCCTCAGCCAGCTACTGTGTAAGTGCACTGAACAGCACCCAGGCTGCCCTACTGTCCAGGCCATCCTGCTGGGCACTCACGGGCATGGGCCAGGCTCAGAGCCCAGAGGCGCAGGTAGGAAGCCGTGTTGGAGATGCAGCCAAGGCAGAACTCGATGGTGTGGATGGCCTGGTGCATGAAGACCTCAGAGGCAATGAGCTGCTGGGCGAGCAGGCAAGTGGCAGTGAGGAGCACAGAGGGGCCAGCTGGGCTGGTGGCCACCACAGCCCCTCAGGAAGGTGTCACACCTACCTCAGCTTCCTTTTCATCCCCAGAGCACCCTGCCTTCTCATCAGGACCCCAGCCACTCTCACAGGCATCAGAGTCCATAAGCTTGGCCTTATCTTCGTCCTGGGCCAAGGGTGGGAGTGGGCAGCATGAGTCCAGCCCCCCGCTCCCAGCTGCCAGATCCTGCAAGATTGAGGGTTGGGGACACCGATGTAGCCTGCCTTCCATGTACCCCTTTCTGCTCAGGCTCTACCTGTCCCCCTGCGGGCCTTCTCTGGAGGTGGCGCTGCCGGCGCAGCAGGTACAAAGGTGTGCCCAGGAGCAGGACAGGAACGGAGGCCAAGGCCAGGACCACCAGTACATACTGCACCACTTCCTGCGGGCGAGAGGGCGCACCGGCCACAAGGCACTCAACAGGCGCTCAGGAGCTCATGTCCTTCTCTGCTGGGTGCCTGTCACTAAGGGATGTCACCCCACAAAGACCCCCAAGGCAGGCCTCAATGGGTCACCCATGTGGGAGCTTTATGCCACTGCCTCATTTCCTAGATGAGGATCCAACAGCTCTGAGCAGGCCAGTGACCCAGGGTCCCCGCGAGGTGGTGCACGCCACCTCCTGGCCAGCCCACCTGTGCGTGGTAGAGCGGCCGGTTGGTGGGGCTGCTAGAGAAAAGGAACATGTTGATGAAATGGATGAGGATGCTCGGGGCAGAGGCAGAGTCAGCAGCCTTGACACACAGCCACTTGTAGAGCACCAGGAAGACAAGGTAGCCGAAGAGACCCAGCAGGAAGATGAGCTCTGGCAGCGTCTCCAGCAGCAGCTTATGGCCCTGGCCAAAGTGCCTGGGGGAGCAAGTGGGTCACAGCACTATCCTGGCCTGCTTGGCCGCTCCCCTGGCAGCCCTGTCCTCACACGTGGTTGAAGACTCCCAGGATCACCCCGAAGGCCATATGGATGACACCCAGGATGACAGACATCTTCATCTTGAAGGAATTGAGGAAGCTCAGGTGGTTGGTGGCCAGACTCCAGACCTGAGGTGATGGGAGAAGGTACCATGCTCAGGGATCAGGGGAAGCCCTGCAGTCGAAGCCCCTTACCCTCTGGGACCACTGTTGAGGGGCAATGGAAGGGAGCGAGTGGCTGAGAGGTCAGAGCAGTCAGGCGGCCTGGGCTCATGCCCCAGTTCTTCCTAGCCAAGTGACCTTGCTAGGAGGCTTGGGCCTCAGTTTTCCCTT